GCATCGTATCTATATGGCATAGAATGAGAACGAACTTTACATGTGATGCTGTACCTCGACTTCGCGTCTTGCGCTGACCACGCGCGATTGCCGTCGCCCACGATCTTGTTGACGTACTGCGCCATCAAACTGTGGCCATGCGCCTTCGTCAAGCGCTGGCCACCCTTCATTACCTTCCCTCTCGTGGCCTGGCCCGTCATCAGCGCAAAGTGCTCCGGAACGCGCAGAAACTCCAACATCATAAGGCGCTCGGCTCGCGTGGTCATGCCTCGCTTTGCCTTGTCCATGGTGCCTTGGTTTGTTGGTGGCATTGTGGGTTGTGTGCGCATTCTATGCCAGTTGTTTAGAGGAATATGATTGGCTGATGTACTGTACTGTCCACTCCAAGTTCAAGTTGCGTTTGATTTTCAAAACCAAAAGCTCCTCGCGAGGAGCTTTTGGTGACGAAAAGCACTTTTCAAAACGAAAATCAAAGTTTTTTCTAAACTGACTCTCCCTAATTGGTCAAAACCCACTCACTCACGGAATTTGGTATAGTACTACAGTGATGGAAGAAAGGTTGTTAAGACACAAGATAATTACTTTCGTTCATACCGAAGGAAGTGAAGTGAGGTTCTGTGATTTTGGAATTGGTCCCAACAAACAGGTTAAAGAGGATATGCATACTCACTTGCGGCAGAAATGACGAGGACTTCCAGCTATATAAAAATTCTTAGTGTCAAACCTGGTATTCAGAATAGGATATTTCACAAAGAATGAGTTTTGAAGATTTCAACTTGCAGCAACACACCGTAGTATGGTGTCATTGCACCATTGACCTCTACAACAGATACGCAACGTCGTGGTATCGACTCGACCAGTCGTTTAATGAGCCATACGTCCAGCTTTGCCCACTCCATCTTGATCGAGCAGTCAAGTCTTCCACTCTATGATATTGTTTGCCACCATGGTAGACTCCGCGCACAAGCATTCCCCACAGGTTTTCGATCGGGTTGAGATCTAGAGACAGGGCTGGATGGTCAAAAAGGACGACATTTTCGCCTCTCAAAAAATCCATGGTCTTCTTCGACCGATGGATTGACGCGCCATCTTGCATGAAGTTGATTTCATCGCCGTAGAGACAGTGAGCAAAGGGGAAGATATAGTCTTGAAGCGTTCAGATGTACTTGTCTGAGTCTTGGTTACGTTCCAAGAACGCAAGCTCGCTCGCCCCGTCGCTCGAAAACGCCCCCAGACCATCACACTTCTCCCTCCAAATTTGCGCGAGAAGTACGTTTCCCTCTCGTGGCGAATGTCTCGCCAATACGACCGCATACGCTCTGGGCCATCAAGGTTAAATATCTTCTTATCCGACCATATAATCGTCGACCAGTTGGGGGCAATCAAGGTGCTTTTTGGCATGGCAAGGCGAGCGCGAATGTGGTCATCCGTCAGCTTGAGGGTGACGTTATGCTTGACGTATTCGAACCGAATGCTTGCTTGGAGCATATAGCGTACGTAGCGAGACGACACAGGCAATTGTAGATCTTGAACAATGGATTTGGACGATGCACCTGGCTTACTCGCGGCCCTAAAAATGTGCCGAGTGTCATTTACCGTCAATTTCGACTTCCTTCCGTGCCCTAAATGCTTGCCATAGTTGTCAGGGTCCTTGAGGTAGTTCTAAATGGCCGTGCGGGAAACGCCAAGGCTCTTAGACATGAATACCACTGTTTCGCCGTCGGCCTTCCACACGACGATTTGACCACGCTGAAACTTGTTGAGCTGAGGTCAACGGCCCATTAGACGTACGCGAGGTGTTGGGTAGAGGTGTTTAGAGGAAGTGGTTCAAATCGATGGTGATTATAAGCATTATTGCGTCATCTAGAGGACATTAACTGAAATGTCCTATGCTGACTTCCATACTGGAAATGCTTAGCCACCGTCTCTACCTCGCAATGTGGCAAAACAGCAACCGGCTTGTACTGTTATCTTGTCAACATATGTATCCCTTAATCCTCCCACACGACAAATTTACCCGACAAGGCTCTGATTAGTTAAAATTCTCGTCCTGTTGTGTGCGGTATTTCATACTCGTCCTGTCAAGCTCGTCCTGTCAAGTTCGTCCTGTCATGCTCGTCCTGTCATGCTCGTCCTGTCATGCTCGTATAAACATGATGAAACGCTATCAACTTAAATCGTTCATTGTCCAATTTGCCACTAACACTCAACTTCGTCTTAAACCTGCTTTCGGGCGGGGGGCTATCAAGGCCGTCAACTACACCATCCCACACCTCGGTTCCACTGTGGCACAGTCCAATTCAGGGAATCGACCGAGGCAACGGGTTAACGGAGATCTTGTTGACGGAGTACAAAGGTTATCCTTTGCCTTGGTAGACTAGGCTTTTAAGTATTTTGCTTTTGCTATTGCAATTACGATCGTGAACCAATTAGCAATTTAAATTAACAAAGTACGCACACAATAATATTCAACTTACAACCTATTTTCTCGCTTTCTCTTCCTAACTTCTTGAAGCAAACCCCAGTACGAATCTGCATGACCACCGTAATCACTCTCAAACTGAGCATAGCTCTGATACTTGTTGAAAGCACTCGCCAGGGTCTCCCGTTCGGAGTACTTTCGACGGTCACTCTTGATCATTTCCTTGGAATAGTCCTTGAGGGCACAGAAACACCACGCTTGGGATCCACTGAAAACCATTGCTCCAATGCTTCCTTCCCTGAACGAGCAGTCGGAATACTCTTCGGTACCACGAATTCTTGCATTGTCTGCTGCCGCTTTGCCACGGGCAGCCCAACGTGTTGCGACAAGACTGACTCCACGCGCAGACACTTCATCACCGCAGCTGCGATGTTGTCCGCTGTAAGATGCACACCAAGATTACCACCATGAACACCACTTGGAACTAGGGACCGTTTCTCAAGCAACAAGCGCGGGTCAATGGCATTGCTCAATGTTCTTGTGACAAGGTACTC